GCAGCTCTAGCTTCTCTGTGGCAGAGGGGGACACAGTGGGCTGTGGCTCTGTGGGGGTTTACATCACCCAGGAAGGCCTTGACCTGAGGGCCGCCAGACTGAGGCTGACCAGGAGGGGTCAGGGCCAGGGGCCAGGTACTCCGAGGAGCAGAGCCCAACACCTGAGTCCAGAGCTGGTCTCCTCTGCCCACTGCCACCCCTCTCTCAGGGTCCTGCACCACATGACGCCCCAGTCCTCGAGATGCCCGTCACCCATTCCCCAGCAGCCCACGACTGCACACTGTGGCCTGGCCCACCCTCCCCAGCACAAAACGTCCAGCTCTGAGCCCTGACAGGAGGTGGGCCAGGACCACTGTCAGCCCCTCCAAGTGCCCACCTGGCCACTGCAGATGCGCTGGGCACTCTGCTCCGGGAACCTAGCCTTCAACAGAGACTGGGGGCAGGAATCGCCCAGGCCCGGGCCCCCTGCCTGGGAGCCAGGGAGCAAGACCCCAGGTGGGCCGAGTCCTCCCAGGTGCTCCGGCCCTCCCAGTGCATGCTGGGACCCCTCCCCAGCCAAACACAAAGCCTCCCTGGACGGGCCTCCTCACAGCCAGCTTCGGCCCCAAGCGGGACACCTCCTGCTCACGGGAGCCTGGGGACAAGCGCAGGGAACAGCGAGGATGCTGGGAACCAGAGCCCAGGGCCAGGGTCCCTGTTCACCTCCTCAGGACAGGAGCTAAGTGGCTCCCGAGGAACCGGCCCAGGCTGGGGCCTCTGCAGCTGAGGGCCTCAGAAGAGCCCCCCCAGGCGGGCGGCAGGTGGAGAGGGGCTCAGGAGGGCCAGCCTCAGCTCCTCCAAGGCAGGGCTCCTTTCACATGCTGGACAGAGAGGCCCTGCCCAGGGCCCACCCCTACAGGAGACACCAGGGGAGGCCCTTCCCACCCTCACCGAGGGCCACAGTCCCGGGGTGGCAGGGTCTGCTCCAGGCCTGGTGGAGGCTGGTGGCCAGGAGCAGCACTGGTGCCGTCTGCACCCGGGCGAGGTGGGACTCACCCTCAGACGCAGGAACAGCACTGAGGGAGCTGGCGGGAGGCTTTCTCCCCACCCAGCCATTATTCCAGCCCAGGAACAGCCGAGTCAAGGCCAGGTGCTCCCACCCCTCACCCTCTGGGGCTCTGCTCCTGGCCTGGCTGCAGGGCCCCACCAGCTGCCACAGCCGCCCCTAGCCCCTGCCACAGGGTGCCCACCACCCGCTTCCTGCTCGGGCAGGGAAGCCAGCTCCCCAAGGGCAGGAGGATCAAGGCCCCAGGACAGACTGGGAGCAGAGGCTGCAGGCAGGACGGCTCCTGCTGGGGGGTGCAGTGGGACAGAGGAAGCAGCACCCAGGGCACTTGCCAGGCCAGCAGAGGTGGCCCCTGCCACATCCCACCCAGAGTGGCTGGGACCCCAGATTCCTGACTGACCCTGCCCCTCCTGCCCAGCCCTCCAAGTCCAAACCACTTCTCTCTCCCATCCCCCCGCTCCTGCCCCCATCTGGAACTTGGCCTGATCCCCACCCCCCACCTTCCCTTCCCTTCCACAGGCCCACCTCCTCCAGGAAGTCCTCCTGACCATGCTGCCACACTGACCAGCCTCCTGGGCCCAGGAATGAGGGGCCAGCACTCCCGTGTAGAACCGCCTCAGAGCCCCACACTGCCTGCCCGATTTACAGGGGAGGACACTGAGGCACAGCCTGCCTACATCCCACAAGGTCGGCCGAGACAGACATGGGGGATGACCCTTCGTCACGGTCACAACTTGTAGCCAAAAGACCACCGTGACAGCAGGACTGTGACCTGAAGCGCGTCGGCCTGGCCTGTCCTTGAAGACTCAACGCAGCAGCCCTGCAGCACGGCTCACCTGCAGGTTCTGGGGTGGGGCTGGGGCACCTGCCTGCTCTCGGGTGGCACACGGCAGGGCTCCAGGGTGGAGGCAGGACAAAGCCGGATTTCTGGCTAGTGAAGACCCTCCGGCGGGTCGGAGGGGATCCTGGAGGCCTAGGAGGGGCAGGGTGTCCCATTTGACAACCAAGGGGCTAACCTGCGGAGTACAGGCTGGCTGTCCTGCAGAGAGGCCGCAAGGGAGCTGTGCCTCACCCCGGGGCAGGGTCCCGTGTGGTCATCCCAAGAACCAGCTCAGCCCTGGGTCCACCTCGGTGGCCCACCTAGAACTTCCTCATCACTGTCACGGTCAGAGCCACAGACCCTTTCCTGACCCTTCCACCAGCCAGCACTGGGCTCATCTCCACCCATGGCCTCTGAGGCTGAGTAGGCCACCCTGTCACCCAGGCACCAGAGCTAGTCCTGGACAACTGAGCTGCAGGCCATGCCCGGGGCTGTCCCCCCACCTCCTCCTGGGGGGAGCTCTGCTGCAGGCCGTGCCCGGCATCTGACCACCCGGCACAGGCTCTGCTTTGTGCTCCAGAGGCCTCCTGCGCATCGATGGCCTCCGGGCAGTGGGTGGGTCCACCCAGCGAGGCCTGACTTGGGTTGGGAGAAGGAGGGGCACTGAGCTTGCAGGGGAGGGTGCCAGGGCTCCCTCCCTGCCTACTCCCCACAGTCACCAACGGAGACCCCTCCTCCCTCCCCCACAATTTGGTCCAAATGAAAGAATTTGGGGGAACCAGAAAAATATGGTTTTTACTTTCAAAACTGGAACCAATTATAATTGTGGGGTTAGTTAAATACTCCCGACTGGGCCTGAGCCCAGGTCTGCGGTGCCCAAGCCCCAGCTGGGGAGCGAGGCGGGAAACGTGGGAGGTTTGGGTGGGAGAAGAGGTGCCCCTGCACCCTGGATCAGCCCTACAAGCCCAGCCCTGCATACCTCACCCTTTCTCCTAAGAGAGAGGGCGGCCACTCTCCTGGGAAGCCCACCTCAGAGGGCCACCAGCTGGTCATGGGTCCTCCTGGTGCAGGTGCCCTGCCCCTCTCACCCCCAAATCTCCAGATCCCGGGGGCCCCACCCTGACCAAGGCTCAGCCCCCACGGAAGGTTCCAAGTGCTCGCTGCAGCAGACCTCTCTTGGGCCCCGGCTCTCTGCTCAGGAAGAGTGGCCTCCCTTACCACCGTATGCTCTCCCAGGAAATGGACAGAGCCAGGTGACAGCAAGGTGACAGAGCTGGAGAGAGCCAGGCAGGCGTCAGAGCCACAAGCTTCCCTCCCCAGCAGCCACCACCCTGTGACCAGGAGCAGGCACCAGGTCAGGGACCGCGAGTCTGGGACACTCAGCCACATCCCCGAATGCGACCTCTGTGCCCATCAGAGGGGCTGCCTGACCCCAGGCCACACAGATCCTCCTGCTGGACGCCCAGGCCCCTCCCCACAGGACGCTGAGCCCTAGTAGAGGCCAAGTCCCCCGACCAGGTGCCTAGACAAAGAGCCGCTGCGAGCCCTGGTCCAGGAGGCCCCGTGTCAGCGTCTCTGGGATGGGGAGGCTGCTTGGGGTGAAGGGAGCCCTGACCAGCAGGGCTCAGAGCTGGGCAGAGGAGAGGAGGGGGCTGGGGAGGGCGGACAGCAGCCCTGAGGGGAAGGTCAGGAGCCCTCACCCCTCCCAGAGGACATGGCCAGGGCAGATCAAACCCCAGTCACCACCTCGCCATCTGCCCACAACCCTGCCCTGAACCCCCAAGGCAGCTCCCAGGGGTAACCCCCACCAACCCCCAGCCCCACCCCTCTCCAGCCCGACAGCCCTGGTGTTTCCCCAAAGCTGGAGGCCAGAGCACTTGTCCCAAAGAGACAACTGGACAGAGGAGCAGAAAGGCCCGAGGGGCCTGCACCACCCGGGCCACAGGCAGGACTCCCAGGAGTGAGGTGGGCTCCGAGTCCCTGGTCCTGCTGCACCCTGCCTGCCACTGGGCAGGGGTGGCACCTGGGACCAGCCCACAGAGGGACTGGCCAAGGCCAGGAAGCTGAGGCCTCTGGCAGCAACGAGGCAGGGGACCCACCCTCCCCAGCACTTAGAGACAGGAAGGGCCACCTGCTGCCCAGAGCCCAGGAGCAGCAGCAGAGGCCTCAACCCAGGGGTGGCCAGCAAGAGGGCCAGAGGACAGCTGGCGAGCTGGCAGAGTCCCCAGACCCCAGGCTTCCCACAGTGCTAAGCGCCCCAGGACCTCGCCAGAACCCTGTCCTGGGTCAGATACTCAGAGGAGGTCATCAGGAGTGTCCCACCAAGGGAGTGAGTGGGGTCACCTTTACCCACATGGGGACCTCTGATTTCCTTCCAACTTCCCAGGACTTTCCTCCCGAGGGGAATCCTGGGGCGAGCAGTCGAGCCTTCTCACACTGTGCCCTGGCCTGCATCGGGAAGGACCCGCGTGCCCACCAGGAAGCAGCCCAACACCCGGGAGCCGGCAGGTCCAGGCTCCAGGCCTGCGAGCTGGGGGCAGAGACTTGGCAGAGCGGGAGGCGGAGGCAGAGAGAGCCACACTTCAGTGGCCCCAGGAGCCTGGGACGCCCGTTGGCAGAGGCTCTTCCGACGCTTTCTGACCAGGCCCTGCAGGACTTCTCTTCAGAAGGTCTGTCGCCCTGCGGCCTGCTGGCAGCCCTTGCCCCTGCTGTCACCACCAGCACTCCCTGACCACGGGCACCTGTGCTGCAGCCCGGTTGTCATGGTCTGTCTGGGCTTGCGGTCAGTGGCGTGCCACGGTCCACTCACCCGTCACCTCACCTTGGCTGGGAACAGTACGGCAGTGAGGGCTCTGGTCGGGGGCGGTGCCACCCAGGCCCGGTCCCCACTACTCGCCACCCTTCTCTGGGCCCTGCCTTCTTGTCATGTGGCTGGACAGGGTGGGCTCCAAGACCAGGTGGTGCAGAGGTATCTGCTGGGGGCCGCTCCTCCTCCCACCTCCCCCAGTCAGGCTGCAGAGAGCCAGGAGAGGGGATCAGCAGAGGTCCCCAGGAGAGGGCCCGCCTGTCCAGTCCCCAACTTCCCACCCCTCCACCCACCAGCTGGCCGCAGGTGCCAGATGGCACTCCACTCACCGTACTGACAGCGGGGGCCCTGGAAGCCTCGGGGACAGCGGCAGAGTTGAGCTGAGCCTGGCACACAGCGGCCACCATTAAAACAGAGCCCAGAAGTGCATTCCGCTGCAGAGAGGACAAGAGACCATGGGGGGGCAGCCCCAACGACCTCCAGGACACAGTCCCAGAGGACCCCTCCCCGGGAAGTCCCCCCTCCAGCTCCAACTCTGTCCTCTGCTTCCGAGAGACTGGGCTCCATTCCCGCCCAGCCCTGCAGGGAGATGGGGAGGGGGCAAGGCCTGGAGCCTGGACAGAGGAAAGCCTCCTGCACCCCCCCCGAGCCTGCGACGGCTCACAGGCTGCAGCCCTGGCCAGCCTAGGGTCACCAGCCCCAGCCCACTGTCTTGGGTCACACATAGCCACTACCCCAGAGCTGGCCCCATCCCCAAGGAGGGACCCTCTTTGGATATCCCCACACTCCAGAGTGCAGGGTGGGGTGGAAAGGCTGTGCCCCACCCCCATGGGGCGTTCGCTGGGCAAGTGGACACTCCAGACGGTGAGTGAACCACCCTCACCCCTGAGCCTCCTGCCAGGAGTGAGGAGGGACGCCCTCTACAGAGGAGGGCCCTCCTGCAGCCAGGGGAGCACCCCAGGACACCCGGAGCACAGCAGAGCCCCTGCCGGCCAGGGGAATGAGCAGCTGTCCACACATGGTCCAGGCAGCCCTCGGGCCAGGCACATGGTCCAGGCAGCCCTCGGGACCAGGCACTGCCTAATGAGGAGACAGAGGCTCAGAGCCATTCAGTATGTGGCCCCAGGACACACAGCAAGGTGTGAGCAGGGCCCAGGCCATGCCCACTCCCAAGCCTCTTCAACTGAAGGGCTGGGTCAGGAGGACCCACCTCCCCCAGTCCATAACCACCCCTCCACCACAGAACGGTCCCTAAAGGACCCTCCCTCCCCAGGCCCCTCAATGCCAGTGCACCCCAGCCTTCCACACCCACCTGGCCTCCTCCTCCCTCCAGCCCAAGGCCTGCAGCCTGAGGCTGTGTCCGAGGGGGCAGGGGGGCTACAGCGGAGCTGGGACAGGGGAAGAAGCCCACAGTGACCCCAACATACACGGGACGGGGTGCTGGGGCGCCAGGGCCCGTGTGGCAGGAAAGCATCAGTGCCCGCGGCTCTGTGACCTGGAGAAGGGCCAGCCATGCCTGCTCTTCCCCAGGAGGGCTCCACTGCCCAGAGACCACAGAGCCCAGCAGCCAAGATGGTCACCCTGGGCAGGAAGCAGGTGCAACACCGGGGCCCAACCCTGGGGCTCTGCCTTGTCCACGCTTATCCCGGGCTCAGTGCCCTGCCTGTGTCCAGTTCTGACCATGGGGTCTTAGAGATGGGGTCAAGCGGTCAACTGGCCATCAGGCCCCTTTCCCTCCCAGGCTGGGCCTTCACTTCCAAGGTGGGGCAAGTACCCCTGTCCCCAAAGGCTGGGTCCCACCTCCCTCTTCTCAGGCCCCCCTAAGGGGGTCGGTGCCCATCACACTGGACAGCACAGGGACAGCAGCTGCCCCTCATAAGGAACGTGATGCCAGGAGCACACCCGAGGGACTGCTCCAGCCTCGGGCCTCAGTGCAGGCGGGACGCGTGGCCTGCTCCGTGAGCTCGGGGTGGGGCACGTGGGGCAGGGAACAGACACCCAGGAGGCCTGGCCCCAGAGGCTGTGGAGCGAGGACCTGCTTCACTCTGACGTGCCAGTGTCTGGAACACCCGTGAATCTCGTGAATGCCAGGTGGTGGCTGGGGACCTTCCCTCGTGGCTGCTGGCTTGGAGGACTGCTCCCACGGGACCTCAGGGGCCCTGGGAGAAGCTGTCTGAAATGCAAGGCCAGGCAGAGGGGACCTGGGCCCACAGCACCACGGGGCCTGCAGCTACCAAGGGGCCCTGTCCCCTGAGGACCGGGCAGGTGGAGGGAAGGCCAAGGCCGGGGGGAGGACATGCACGGCAGGGAGACTTCCTCCAGTGACCAACTGTCCCTGAACCTGGGCCAGTGCCTGGGCGGCACAGGTCAGCTTGGGGTCTAAGACCTGCTCAGGCCCCAGCCCTGATACTCTGTCACCCGGGTTTTCACCTCTGCAAGCCTCAGTTTACCCCTCTGAAAAATGACAATGTGCAGGCTCCCACGGGACGTCCACATACACAGAGTGACGCCCTCGGGCCCTGGAGCAGCCGTCAAGCCCACAGAGCTGAAGGGCATCTCCCGCTGGTTTACAGACTGGGACCCAGAGGTGTGGACACTGGTCCCTGCCAACTGTCCCCGCCTCCCTGGGCCAGGTGTTGCTCTGGGCGAAGCTGGCAGGTCTGCCCCACATTCCTACAGCCAAGCCTGGGAGGGACTCAGGCCTCCTGTCCCCAGGGTGCTGGCAGGTTTGGAGGGCCATGCCGTGGTCAGCACGTGAAGGCAGCGTCTGTGATCTCTCAACACCCTCTGCACAGCTGGGTGCTGAGGGCCAGGCCAAGAGGCCTCAGGAGACCCTGGGTGGGGCCCTCCCTACCCACCTTGAATTCCCAGAATGTTCCAGATGTGGAACAGCCTCTCCCTCAGCTGGGCCTGGGTCCCTTATCTGCACCTGGGGGTCAGCCCAGCACCAAGACCTGTGATGGACAGGATGGTAAAGGAGATGGCCCGGTAGTGCTCCAGCCAGGCCTGGCCCGCATGCGTCTGGTGAGCCCACACTTTGGCTAGGGTGACCACCGGGGACCCCACAGGCGGCTCTGATGAAGGCGGAGTCACCTAGGGTAGACAGAGTGTGGGGTCCTGGATGGCAGCAGGTGGCCCTGATGCAGGGGGACTTACAGACCTGGCTGAACAAGGAGGGACCCGTTCCTCAGCGCGGCCTGTGTCAGGAGCGAGCTCTGACACCCACACCCATAGCCAGCTTTCCGAGGTCCCCTTGGTGGGACAGGAAGGCCCACTTCACAGGGGCTGGGAGAAGGGGCCAGAGCCAGGCAGGACCCAGGGACCCAGCTGCCAGCCCCCAAGACTGGATCTGTGTCCTGTGGACACAGAGGGCCCACTTCAGCAGGCAGTGACGACGACCCAGCTCCCACCTGCTGCTCCCACCTGCTGCTCCCACCTGCTGCTCCCACCTGCTGCTCCCACCAGCTTGAGGGGCCCTGCCCGCGCCAGCCAAGGAGGAGCTGGGGGGCTCTCGCTGTGCCCAGGGCGTCCTGGTCAGGGCAAGAGCCCAGCAGGAGCATCTTCCTCCAGGGTCCTCCAACCACCAGCAGAGGAGGTTAGAGCTAGACTGACCCAGGCTCCACCTGCCCAGACCCCGCCCACCAGCCACACAGGGAAGGCACAGGGTGGTCACACAACACTGGCACGTGAAGGCCGAGACCAGCCTGGGAGGTGAGAACCAGGCTCCACCGGGGGGCGCGGGCCTGGCGGGCTCAGGGCAGCGCAGCTCAGGAGGCCCCGCACACCTCCCTGGGAGCCGAGGAAGACGCCGAGTCCCCATGCCTCTGGGCTCCTCGAAGCCAGTTTAGAAAGCAGAGACTGAACACCCAGAATCTTCCAGAAAGAAGGGCCCCTGTGGCACTCAGGATCACCCTGCATCTAAGGCCACTGTCATCTTCTCTCCCGTAGCCTGTGCTCCCCACTGCAGCCCCGGGCAAGCTGGCCCTGTCACTGCGACCCCCAGAGCCCCCGGGGACCAAACATAATCAACACCTGGCCAGGGCTGGAGGTGAGCTCAGAGGAGAGCACTGGCCTTCGAGCACTGGCCCTGGGTGCCACCAGCCTGCAAAGACAAGCCACTGGCTAGACAGACAAGTGACAGCCCCCCATGCCCACCGAGGCCACCAAGTAAGTCCCCAGGACTGCACCTGAGATGGCAACAGCACAGAATTCTGGGTAGACCCCAAGCACTGGGAAGTGCTAGGGAGGTGACAAGGCCACTGGCCCGAGCGTGCCCTGGACAGATGGCTCTGGACAGGTCCCAGCTGCAGGGCTGGGGTTGGAAAGGAGACGCTCTGGGTGGGTGAGCGCACAGGGCTGTCTGTGGGTGTGGGAACACGTGGGCTGAGGTTGACTGTGAGTGTGCAGACCCTGTGCCTGTACGGATGAGTGAACACAGGAGTGTGAGCCTGTGGCTGAGCGCATCTGTGCGTGTGAGCTGGGTACAACCGTGAGCACGTCTGAGTGGGCGTGCAATGGCAGAAGCATCTTAGCTTAAATGTGTGCACACGTGTGTGAGTACAGTGTGCACAGGTCGGTGCGAGGCAGTGTGTGGCATGAGCTCGCAGGTGGATGGCAGGGTCAGGTACAGGAGAGAGCAAGCTGCCAGGCTCAGGCCCGCAGAGCCAGGCTAACACCCCACAGCTGGGAGAGACGGGGGCTGCTGGGGACAGTGACATTGCGACACAGGGCCCTCTGGGCTTGTGGACCCTGCACTGTGTCCACATGGAGGAAGGGAGGCCCAGGACCTGGGATCAGGCTCTGCCAATTCCCACGCTGGGGCATGGGCTGATGGACATGTGGACAGATCGGAAGAGGAAAGGCCGAGGGCAGGGGCAGGAAAGCAGAGGGCAGCCGGGGCCTCCTGGGCCTTCCTGCAGCCCCTCCCGCAGCTGGCCAACCAGGCCCAACGAGACACAGAGGGTGCGGCTGCCAAGCCCTGGGCGTCCCAGGAGAGGAGGAAGACCTGCAGGGCCCACCTGCCTGGTGGACTGACAGCTGGACACAGGGGCTCCAAGTCCAGGCCTTGGCTCCGGACACCCCCACTACAGGCTGCTGGGTGCTGGGCCCCTTCCAGGTCAGCATCCAGCAACCAGGCTCTCATCCCTCTTGCCAACCCACCTGTGGGCAAGGTCCCAGGCACCTGGGGGCAGGGTCCCCACCCGGGACCCTCAGTGACGGCCTTCCTATTCTGCTCTGTGGATGAGAAGGCCTTGCAGGTGACAAATTTTTCAAAGAAGGTGTGGCCTCTTCCTGGACAGCCCAGCAGCCCTCAAGCACCAAGACCAGGACCAGCCATGAGGAGATTGGGGCAGTGACACTACAGTGTCCTTCCCAGGCTATGGTCACCTGACCACAGAGCTGAAGGCCAGGCTGGCCCAAGTCACCCATGCTG